ACAACGACGGCCGCGGCCGCGGGTGGCAGCAGGAGAGGGAGAGTCGCACGCCCATCATCGCCCTGAGCGCGTTCCACAGCGAGGAGTACCGCGTGCGGTGCCGGGAGAGCGGCATGAGCGACTACATGAGCAAGCCGGTCAAGAAGGACGCGCTCGTGTCGTGCCTGGCCAAGTGGTGCAACGACCCGAGCGCCCTGTGGCGCCTGATCGCCACCTGCCCCCTCACCAGCGACGACAGCGATTGCAGCATCACCAGTAGCAACAGCAACAGCAACAACAACAGCGACGAAGAAGAAGAGGAGGAGGTGAAGGCCACGCTTATCGGCGGTAGCGGCGATGTGCCCTTCGAGTGCAGGACCACCGCTTGACGTCCCACCCGCAAAGAAAAATCCATGAACAATATAATTATTATCATTATTATTCATGATTATCAACAAAACAGACGAGGTACACAAGAGTGGGCGGGCGTTTGTTGCATTCAGGGTCCGTCCAGCGATCGACGGCTGATGAAGGCACGCCAGGACAGGAACTTGCACCAAGACCGCAAGACAAGAGGACTTGATGGGCAAGGGACCACCGCGTAACCTGCGGCCCGAGACCGTAGATTTCGGCAGGTCGCAAAAGAAACCGTTGAGAAATCACGGTAGAAAAAAAATTTGTCGACAGAGATTAGGAGTTTTGTTTCGGTCGAACAGACAACGGGAGACAGGTGAGGAGAGTTGACAGAGAAGCGTATGTCCCCACGCGGCGCGAGAAGCTCGGCGGCGAACAGGGACAACGCGCCAAAACAGAGGCGGGCCAGGTCCGCGGGCTTGGCTGGTACCATGGTGCGATGGTCCCCTATACTACCCACCACATCGGCGCCTCGCTTCCATCGCACAGAGCGTAGTATGAGGGCCGCCACACTCGGTGGAATGTGAACAAGGCTCCCCATGGAATGCAGGGTCTGTTCCATACATTCCATGGTTATGCGCACTTAATGTTGGTGGTGGATGTGAACTATACAAGGGACGCATGGCAAC